GAGGACGCGCTTTGCCCTCTCCCTCGTTTCTTCAGAGGGATTTTCAGAGCCTTTGGATCAGGATGATGCTTCCACGGACGGAGGCAGTCCTGAGCGGAGCCCCTGCTACCTGGGGATAACATCGCTGGAAAAAAGAGAACGGGACATTTTTTTAACAGAAAGTTCCGGGGTGACATGTCAGTTCCATGTGACCGATGTACTCGACGAGGGGGGGTTACTTCAGCCTGCGTCGCCTGATTTAAACGTGTTTATCCAAAGCAGCCTGAAGTATAAAGCCATCGTGTCGTACGTGCCGCAGTTTCAGATGACTCCTGCCAAGGTGCAAGAGACCACAAAGAAAAACTCTTAAGTCATCACACCCTAATTTGCTGCTCTTGATGTTGATTGGTTTTAGGTGTCGACCACAGACTCGTCCACACGTTTCTTCTCTCTGTTCAGGAGTAAAGTATCTCCTCGAGCATGTCAGTGAACTGAGGTGGAAGAGTTTATCCTTGTTTTAGGGTTTCCTTGGGGACCCCCAGAGCAAGACAGAAAGTAGTGACCTAATCTGGAGATGGAAATATGTATGTGTGGTGCTTTTGGGGGGAAAAGCTTGACTGTGTCATTTCACTGATAGGAAATGGGACACTGGGTGCTGCTGAGTCAACCTGGATGCAGTGCGGCTTTTTTTAATTTTTTTTTTCTCCAAAATCCTGATGTATTTGTTGCTCGGCTGACACCTGCGTTAACCTGAGCCTGTGAACACACAGATGGTCCCCATGAGAGAGCAGCGAGAACGCTGCAGTTCAGTTGTTCAAAGGGAGGCCCTTGCCAATGACAGCGAGCTTGTGGCTGCTCTTACGGCGTGCCTTTTAAAATAAATTGAAAATACTCACAAGTAGATCAAAGAACTGTACAAGAAACTGTGAGATCAGAGACATTCACTGCATCACGGTATAAAACGCTCCCTGAAGAATTAATGGTTCCAGTAGCTGAAGACTTGCAGGAAGAGGAAGAGAATCAAAATTCTTGTGTCTACAACAATTGTGAGGCGTTTCCTGGGTAAAATGTCTGTATTTTTGCTGCCAAACGTGAGATTCTAGTACGAGTGGTACTGCAGTAAAACCGCCGTCTCTTCCAAAGACCTTTGCTAAGAGCCCGCGGTAGAAAATACAATAATTTGATCTGGGGATCCCATGGTTTTGATCTTTGCTGAGCTGGCCTGTCTGCATGGGCTTGAAGAAGCTGGTTTGTCTTCTCGAGCCCTGCTCTGCTCAGCTGAAAAGCTTCAGGTGGGAGGAAAAGTAGATCTTGCATCTCACCCGTATTTTCTGGGGGAAGCAAGCAAAGAAAACCAAACTTACATGCCAGCCCAAATCTATTTTTTCTACGCCATAGTTGGTAAATAGTTTTGTATGCGTGCCTTTTCAAAGAGCTATTTTGAGGAGCTAAGAACTGATTCTATGAAAGACAAATGTGTTGTGTATTCCAAAGCTAATTCGATATAAAACTCACCTAGGAAATGAAAAACAAAAGGGCAAAAGCCCAGCAAAAAAGGAAAATGGTAGGAGAGGAGCAGAAATGCTTTAATATTAATGATAATAAATCCTATGGAGCAGAAGGGACCAAAGCAAGTATTTGTATCTGCACTTTGAATTTAAGACAAGCTTTACCAAAAAACCCATTGATTTTTCTCAAAAGAAGCTGCTGACCTGGCTCTTGCTGGGGGTGTCTCTGTTTCTGGATGTTGAATATGACACAAACCTAACGCACTCGCTTCAGAAACATCGTGTACGGCGGGGGGGGATTAAAACATTCTTTTTGTTCCGAACCAAAACTCATTGTCGCTTGAAAAACTGCTTGGAGGCTGCAAGGACAAACCTGGAGTCTTGAGGGTTCTGTGGAGTTCAAGAGGAACCAGGTGAATGCTAAACTTAGAATTCATCTGAAAAAAAGAAATTCACTCCTGCCGGCACATGAACCCAATGCGGCACAACCCTCTGGGCCCCGAGTGCCCCAGGGAGGGACTCGGTGTTGGGTTCTGCCTCTCCTGATGGTTTCTCCACCAGATCCAATGTCTCCCCGAAGCTGAAGATGTGGGATGGGGGGGTCGCACCAGGCAGCTGTCCCACCCAGCCCGCCCCGCCTCGTGCCGCAGGGATCCCGCCTGAATTTGGGGCAGAAGGCCTGAATTCCTGTGCATCAGCCTTCTCCTCTTGTTACTACGGGACGCAGAGGTAATGTGAACTATCGAAGGGCGGTTTCGCGGCAGCCACTGCAGTGCCGCCCTATCTCTTTCTCTTTGGGAGGGGAGACTGAGCATCCCCGTCTGCTGAAAGTTCCTGCTGTCGGGAAGTGCAGAGGGTCACGCGGTGGGATAATGAGCACGTGGTCCATCAGGAGGTTTGGATTTCTTTTATTTAGTTGCATTTGAAGATCGTCCTTCTCGAGAAATGAAAAGCTCGCATTGATTTCACTGTACAAAATCCTTATTCAGTAACTCTTTAAGGGCAGAAGTGTCATTACCCACGGGAACGATGTGCTGCATGAGCCAGGGGAGGTTTTCCTGGGAATGTGGTATGATGTAGTTGATCTGTCCTTGTCCTGCAGGGCTCTCGCGGGCCGCAGCTGATGTCAGGAGAGCGTCTGCAGCCTGGACGTGCTGTGATGCCTGTGCTCAAGGGTTGCCCTTTGCACAGAAGAAAAAAGAAACGCCAGACATCTTCCCTCGATGGAAGGTGGCAGGTAGCCAGATGTCACCACCTTTGGGAGTCCAGCCTGCTCTGGGTGCCTCTCTGCCACCCCAGTCATGGTGGTGGTTTTTTGTTTCCTAACGGTGCTCCTTAGAAAAAGAAATTGCCGTGGCATTTACCAAAATCCCTGCTGTGACTTTTAAGAAATACTGCAAATATTAGCTGATTTCTTCTGCTTCAGCAAAAATAAGAGATTTCAAGTATAAGAAATGCTGCAAATATTAGCTGGTTTCTTCTGTTTCAGCAAAAAGAAAAGATTTCAAGTTTAATTAAAAAAAACACCACAGGAAAATGGGAGGTTTGAGCTAAACATAAGAAAATACTTTATTTGAGGGTGATGGAGCACTGGCACAGGCTGCCCAGAGAGATTGTGGAGTCTCTGGAGACTTTCAAAGCCTACCCAGACATGTTCCTGTGGGATCTGCTTTGGGTGACCCTGCTCTGGCAGGGGGTCGGACTGGATGATCTCCAGAGATCCCTTCCAACCCCCAACATCCTGTGTTTCTGTGATAATTGCTGCAGAGCCACGCAATGAGTCCCGTAATGCAGGTGTGACTTTTCTGAAGCAGCCTCCACTCTGTGTCTCCAATCCCCAAGTTTCTGTCAGTGCGGCTGAGCCCAGGTCCTGACCCACAGCGGAGGGCTGGACACAGCTCTGTGAGTTTATTCAATAAGTACTTCCTAAAACCTGCTCTCAGTCTGGCGTTTCCATCTGTATCGAATGGACATTCAATCCCGCCCTTCACCTTTCTTCACTTTTGAATAAAAAGCCCAAGGCTGCATATCCTGAATCCACCATCTGCTCCCGTCTGCCCCTGCCCTCTCCGGTTACGATTTCAGCTCTGGTTGCTCCTGTGGGCAGCGCCTGCCTTTGGGAAGGGAAATGAAGAGCAGGGGTCAGTCACCACGTTCTTTTCTCACCTGTTTGGGTTTTTTTTCCTCTCAACCTCAGGTAAATTTGTTCATCATGCCACATCAGGTAACGGTGTTCTGCACTGTTTTTACGACGATCTCCTTTCCCCAGGGCAGCTGGCACATGTGCTTCACACATTTGCTGAATCTTATTTGCTTATTCCTGGGTGAGACAGACCTGGACGGCAGCATTTAGGGAGGTAATTTTGGAGGGTGGTTTTCCCAGCAGAGCTGCAGGCAGGCAGCTCTCCTGCCTGCTCTCGGTGGCTTCATGTGTGGGGCTCCATGTCCTGGGAAGGGCACATTCCTCACAAAAGCCAGTGAAATTTAAAGATGCTGATTAAATATGCTGTTAGAATTTAGAATGGAAGTTGTCAGCGGCAAAAAACCTGCAGAGGGGTCTGAACTTCTGCATTAATCTTCCCAAGGAAGATTTTTTTTTTTCCTGACAGCTGGACTGTCGTAGCCAGAACAGGAGCTCCCACTCATGTGCCCATCGGGTGAGGCGGTTGGTGCTGAGGGACCCAGCGAAGGGTTGCAAGGAGAGTTGGTACCAGGGGTTGTCTGCACCAAGCTGTGCGAGATGGATCGGGGCCAGGAGGCCACACTCGGTGCCTCTCCTGGGGTCCAGCCCCATCTTGGCAAGAGACCTTGGAAGTCGCTGCCAAGAAAATGAGGAGAAAGTAGGGAACGGGGTCAGGCCGTGATCTGCATCAGAAGAGGAGGGTTGCTGGGGGCAGAGAGGGTTTGAGGTGATGACCTTCATCTTCCCCTCTGGGCTGACACTTGTCTCCTCCAGCCGAAGGGACTTGCCTGCCCGGGGGCACAGCAAGGGAGGAGAAATGCTGCATAAACGGGTTTCAGAGCATCCCGAGAGCACGGTGCCACTGCAACCCGGCGCAGTTATTTTTGCTTCTAATAGTGGCGCTGCCAATGCTTCCCCATAAATACACTCATGCCATTGCTACAAGCCGTTCAGGGCCAATTCCCAGTGCAGTTGGTCATTTCGCATGGATAGGTCTGGGGTTTTTTGCCGTGGCTCCAAACCCACCAGGAAATATTGAGCTCCTGCAAATTAACTTCAAAGAGCATCCAGGAGTATAGCTCATTTATCTGAGAAAATTAATCAAATGTGTCATTATTCCTTTTACATGTCACTTGCAGCTACGGTTAAATGCCCTGTTTTTTGAAACTGCAATCAATGTTTGAAGCAGCAAGAAAGTGTTTTTCATATTTTGTCCATGTGGAGCTTGTTAGCCTGTCTGTGCGCCATTGGTCTGGTCGATCAGCCGTGGATTTGGGCGTTTGCAGTAAAACGGGGTTTGAATTTTATTTTGCCCCTTGTGTCAACTGGGAACTAGTTTTGTTTCTGTATGTGGCTTTCGCTTCCGGAGCATTGACAGTGATTATTTCCCGCTGCTGAGAGTGTAACTCGAAACACCTCTTTCTAACCGTGTCAAGAGTAGATTTGTAATTATTTTTGTGAATAAAATGTTTATGGTTGATAGTACTGTTGAGTAGGTGTTTGTGTATCGTAGCGAGCCTTCGCCCAGCGTGGGAGCCAGTCCTACCCCCGGGATCTCCCCCTGATGAACTCCATCCCTGACTTGTTTTTTGTGGTTTTTTTTTATTTGGAAAATCTTTAGCATTTCACTCTGCAGTTTAGTGGAACTGGGCCCTGCAGAATTGCTGTATAATACATAAC